AAAATTCAGTCAGGTACCATTTCTTAAACCAGCAATTCCTGCAGCGGCAGAATTACAGAGTGATTTCATTAATTCACCTATAAAATCAGCTCTGGTTGAGGAATCCACAGTTGTAACTGTAATGTCTGACCGTTGGGTCAGAGCTAATCTAAGGGGTCTTGATATACATGCAGGGGTCTTTCTTTTCAGTTGTAGTTTTAACTGATTGGTAGATTCACAGCATTTATGAAGCACAAAAAGGTGAAGGAGAGCCTTGCTGAAGTCTAGATGATGAACTTCTAAGAGAAGTCCTGATCTTTCTATTTAAGCGCACTTAATAAGATTTTCACTTTGTCAGTATGTTGATACTTTTTAGGATACATTTTAGCTTCTTATCCTCCAAAAAAACAAAAAAACAAACAAACAAACAAACAAAAAAAAAACCAAACCAAAACAAAAAAAAAAACCAACCCAAAACTTAGAAGTCATTAAAAAAGTCACTAAAAATGTTAGTTTGAAACCTTAACCTTTGTGTTTTTATTAAAAATATGTTTAATTTGCAGTTAGTTGTGGCAAATTACACTTCTCAAACCAGGTAAGTGGCAAGGTTTGTAAGCATTCAGCAAATAGCAGCTTAATCTAATCTTTGCTCAAAACTATATCCTTCTGTAGTGTTCCTTATCCCTAGAATATCTGATATTTATAGGATAAGCTTAAATGATCTCCTTATTTTCCTTTGACAGCTATTCTTTATACTCTCAATGCTTAGATACAGACCATTGTTGTCTATAAAGCATAGAGAAATAAGAAAAAAAATATAGTGGGATACAGTCCTTTGATTATCATAAATCCATTCTCAATCCTAAAATAATTACACTTTTTATGTCAAAAGCTTTACAGATTTACCACCTCAAGCAATATCTTACAGCTGTCAAAAATGATTTATGCAATAATGACTTAAAGTCCAAAATGGAGTCCTCAAAGGAAGAGCTGTCAAACATTTTCACCACAAATAATATTATTAAAATAAGAATTGATATTCTGTATAAGCAATATTTTACGTTCAACTATTAAAGAGATCATATAGTTATATAACTTGTGGAAATGAAGTTGCGAAATAGAGAGGAACATAGTGTGCAGCTGCTTTGATATAAGAGTATAATTTTTGAATTAAACAGATGTTAGTGCCTTATGGGCAAGATTAAAAAAAATAATAATCTGTTCCAGAATAATAGTTCTTGAGTATTTATCTTTTATTTTTCATTAAAGGGATATTTACATTAAAAAAAAAAAAAATCTACTGAGTCTTTAAACCCATGAGTAGTTTCAGTGACATCTTGTTGTATAATGACAAACTACGAATTTAAACCCTTAGTTTCGGCATCCATCTGTTCCTATTAACCATTTTTCTCAGTAATCATTAATATTTTTAATAGCTAAGTAATTGTCTACGGTGGCAATACTCCAACATGACAGGAGATTAGGATAACCTGAACAATCTGGATTGCAAAAGTAGCCTTATAAAAGGAAAAATGTGTGAGAAGAAATTCAAGAAAAATGTAGGCTATATTAACAACATTATTCTGATAAAAATACTGCAATGGGAACTAGTAAGGCTGTTAGTTGCAAATGTTAAAAACTTCTGAGGATGAGGCATCAGTATGGTTGGGACAGGGCTTGCTGGTTGTGTCAGTAATTCACCATTCCACATTCAGGCTACCTGCACAATTCTGTGAAGCCATCACAAATATTCTTCCCCTCTTCTCTACAATTTCCCCATTTTGCATGTCCCTTGTGAGTAACATATTTCTAAAACTATATTCTTTTTTAACTTTGGTCTGCTGTATTTAAAGCAATGTAGATTCAAACAGCCGCCATTTTCTGAAGATCGGCCTGCTGCCAAAATTCTCTCATTCTTCTGCCCCCTTCACACTTCAGTGTGTGACCTGGCCGAAAAATTAAAGCAATGAACAGCAGCATTCAATCTTGCATCATCAAGATGTTTAAAACTCAAAACCTTGCATTTTTTTTTCATCTTGGAGGCTGTAGACAGTAGAGAATGTTAGAATCCTAACTCCTCATATGTATGAAATATTTTGCTTGTAAAAGAAGTTCCTTTTAGGTTGAAGTTTAAAGCTGAATCATTTTAAAACAATATTAGGTGGTATTTAGAACTTAAAAGGAAAATAATTAGTTATATAATGATTCTCTTTTTGATCTCTGCTTGGTGGACTTCTAATGACAGTAATTTTGAAAGTGAGAGGATATATGATCCTACTCGTATTTGAAATACTAAAAAAAATGTTGTAAGCACTAAAATTTTAATATAATCAGCTGCTATACAAATTAAATGATGGTGTGGTAGGAAATAAGCTTTTATTTGCATTTGCATGTTTATTGAGGACTTTATAATAAAGCCTTCAGACACATCAGTAGTTACCACCTTAAGGCACTTGATACCTTCATAAGCTGTCTTTCTAATCTGTATGCTTAAGTATTATGTTAAGTACTGCGCAATGGATATCTATGAAATATATCTGCACGTAATGCCAAATCAAACTTTCAAGCAGCAGGCAGTTCATTGAAGGAACTTGGGTTATTTATGTTGAAAAAGTTACATGTCTAACTGTGCTGGTATTGAGCTCTTAAAATATTTTCATATTAGCTCACACTACACAATGGAAAATAAGCAACAAACCAGGCACTAAACTCTCAAATGTTTAGCAATTTTGTTAAATTCATTCTGCTTCAGAACCCAGAGAAAGTCTTTATTAGTTGTCATTGCTCTGTATAAAACACATTTCCAAATTTTAGATGAAAAGCAAAGTATATATTTTTGGTAATTTATAATAGCTATAGAGTATGCTTACCAAAATATATTATATCCATCACACAAGCAACTTAAATTTCTTAATACCACATAAGCTTCAGAACTTCTTCTCACATTTTCTACAGAGATTGAACATTATGTGTACCAAACAGAAAATTCTATATATACAAATGATCAAGCTGTCAGGGAGTTATGAATTTGAGTGCCAGACCTATCTTGTATCTTGTCAATTTTTAACTCTAATCAGTGACTCAATATTTTAAATGAAATTTAATTGTTCAAAAATTGTCGGTATTCATTTAAATTTAGCACAGCATATAGTGCACAATAAATGAATTTCACATTTTGACCAGTAAATTTTTCAAGAATGTGTCTAGAAATATTATCCATAGCTTTTTGAAATTACCTAGCCTTTGAACATATGGTTATTTAAATCCTTCAGTTTAAGGAAACTTTTCACAGAAGTGAAGTTATTGAAAACTCTTATGCATGAAATTGTTTACAGTGAATAATCCATTTATAATGTACTTCAAAACTCAAAAATATTTACAAAGAGTACGGCAATTTTTGTGGACAGTTTTGCTTTGATTTGCCTCAAATAGATTATAGTGTGTTGTACGATGCCAAGACTCATTCACATGTAGAAAAACACATATTAAGGTTAACCACTGGATAAACAGTACTTTAGTTAAGCACTTCCATGTCCCTCAGTATTTTGGAAATCTGAAGCGCTATTAAACAACCAGATCTCAAAACAATGCTCCAGGCTTGTGGCTGTGAAAGTTAGCAATGACATTCTCCTTTTGCAATATTATTTTTAACACATGCCAAGTTAACATAAACACAGGCTAGAAGTGTACAGACACACAGTGTCATATCTCTTGATAAATCTATGTTCAAGGCACAACTACAACAATCAATCTTGAGAAAAATCTACTACAGACCACCTAAGCAGATTTAAGAATAAAGGACTCTATTACGAATATGTTAAGAACATTAAATATTGGTAGTGTGGGCAGAGTGAGTGCCCTGAGTCCTATCTGAATTATACCTGCCCAAGCTAAAAATATTACGACTCTCCGAGATAACAACAGAATTACTAAGAACATGGTATAACTCTGTGACTTTAAAATATGAGAGCATCCTTTGCATGTGATTCTAAAATTGATGCAAACAAAACACTGGCATTTCTCCAGAGCTAATTTAAGCTCAGCATTTGAATATAAATTTCCTTTTCCTTCTCTCAAGACCATATGCAGAGCAAGAGACAGAGTAAGATACATCACATATTCATTATTTGGATTTGTTTGAAGGACGAATGTTTCTGTAAATAACACTGGATAATGAGAAATAGAAAAAAGAGCCTAAACATAACTATTAGGTATCGTAGTTAGTTTTCATGGGTGTGCATTTTTTGGTCAGCAAATACAGTCAAGTATTCATTTCATGCTCTTTTACTAGGTAGAAAGCATAAGCCAGGCATATTTAGCCACTCTTCCTTATATCAGCAATATTGTTAACAGATACTGTATCTCCACCAAAAACCAGGAACACTTCCTGTAGTTTAACCATTCACATTTTTCTTACTGCGCCAACATAATTCTAGGACAACTTCTGGATTCAAATATAGATACTCCAAATTCACAGTATTTCATCTCTTAAAAGGACATCTCTTTTTCTTTATAAGCTGATACTTTCTACATTATAGGTCAATTTTTTTTGCTACTTTCAAGCCAGATGTGTTTTTCCAAGTAAAGTACTGCATTTAAATCATGCAGTTGCATTATGTGAGGCTGGCAGAATTAAGACCTGAAACTCATATGTCGTTTTTACTTTCTATGATCTCAAATAGTTCATAAAAATCACAGGATTCCTGCTTCCTGTATCTTTGCACTGTTGTAGGGTTGTTTACTATAGGAAATTTACACCGAATTTAAACCTAGAAAACTTTTGATCAGTAGTCGCAGATGCAGTGATAACCTCATTCAACTGTTACTGTCAGAATACACTGATATACTCTTGTGCACCCACTATCAAGGAAAATTCCCTTAATACTATGCTGAAGTGTACTTCACTGGACTTCAAAGGAATTATACCACTACTCCAGGGAAAGGTTTGGCCAGCAGACCAGACATGATTTTACCACATAATGAAATACACAGAAAGTCTTGACAATAAAAACAGACTTTACCATCTTTGTGATAGTAGGTGACTTCCACTTTCCTCTCCTCTGACCCCAGCAGTGCTTGAGCAATTTGAGCAATATGATGTCTTTTGGTCTCTGGTCCATGAAGAAAATCACAGGTGCAAGGTTTCTGCATGACATCTGGCCTGGAGAACCCAGTCATCTCACAGAACCCATCATTGCAGTAGATGATAGCACAATTCTGCACTCTAGCATTAGCAATGATGAATTTTTTATCTGCAATAAAAGAAAGTGATGCATTTTTTAGTACTCTTTCAACTTTTCATAAAGTGTTGATTGCACGGATGGATGCTAAACAACCACTCTTTTCACTGGGATGCCTGAAATGCAGTGATTTTTCAGTCATTTTATGTATTTAATTTGATCCACACGTTTTAAAGCAACTTCAATAAATTTAGAGTACGTTAAAAGTGAAGATAGTTGTATTTTAAGGAAATAAAACCAGTCTGTGTGATTTTTCTCACAAAACTTCTCAACTTCAATTTTCTTTTCCTTTGTAGCTACAGTGAAACTTTGACGATGAGGAGGAAAGTGATGAACACTGTCCTGTCAGCCATGACTCCAGAGAAAGTCATTAAAAAGTTAGTATTTTTCTTTTTTTTGGCGGGTGAAGGGGATAGCTGTGAATAAGAAGGGAGGGAGTTCTACACAATTGTGGAAATTCCTGTGAAAAAGAACAACCAGCTGAGTCTATTAATTAGGGATTTTAATTGAGTTGAGTTTATAGTCATTCTTTTAGCAAAGCTATCTGGAAAAGAACATGATAAATTTTTGTTTTCTGTTTGTGTTTTAAAGTTACACCTATAAAAGAAAATATTCCTTAGCAAGAACATGAAATTGAAGGCACATCAAGGCAAATGAAAGGTTGTGGCATTTGAAACATTTTTTCACAGTCCACTGAAGCTCTGTGCCTTAGTCCAGCACACTTTTTTAAAGGCTCACCTGGGAGAAAAGTTCAAAAGTTGTCATTTGACAGTTATTACATTTGTCACCGTTTACCACTATAACACACTACTCCTATTTTAATTACAAATGTACTGCTTTGATACATTTATTGTCAGTAATAGTTCCCTCTCTTTAGAAGGGACATGATACCAAGGTAGCAGTTGTTTATATTCAACATACATACTCTACAACATAAAAACTACTCAAGTAGCAACATTAACTTAGCATTTGGTTAAATTAGTACTACAAAGACTGTCTCTATTTTATTCTCAAATAAAATAAATATTGAATTGCTAATGTGTGTCTAAGTATAAGGAAGTACAGAAGCTAGAGTTAGCAGTAAGGGTTTGCAGTAGACTGATACTAACAATATGCTAAATATTTAAATAAATGTACATATATAAAACTACTGCTTCTAAATGAAATTCATTTTAAGCATCAAGTGTTCCTTCTTACTGTTAACAGTAAACCAGAGTTCCAGCCAGGAAAACCACTTCAGCTTCAGCCTCCTTGACAGGTAGCAAACCGCTGCATTGGAAAAGATCTCAGAGACTCCCTGAGGATGCATTTGCACTGGTCTGATGGATATTTCAGGCTTCCATAAACAAAGCAAATATTTGACAGCTATATTAAAATGCAGTCATGATGATAAGGTAAGAATATTTTCCATTTAATATCTCCTTTGCATATTATTTGTTTCCTCTTAATCAAAGTCTGCTTGTTCTGCTGTGTTTTGAAAAGACACTGATAATTATTATTAATAATAAAATCAATAAATCTAACCAATTTTCCCAAGATTGTATAGACAAGCAAGATTGTAAACTTTGCGTTACAGCCATCTTTCTAGTTCAGAAAAAAGGTAAGATAGAACTTCTGTAGTTATACAGTATAAATGCAATCAAAAATAAAAACTGTTAATAAAAATGGAAGGAAAAAAACAAGCAACAAAACAACACAATAATTCAAGTCAGTAATCTGCATTCTAGATCTAAAGCAGCGTTACTCCTGCAAGGGATCCCCTCCTCACCTCTGGGATTTTCTTTCCAAGTAACAAACTTAAAATAGTCTGGAGCTGCTGTCCATTTAGTCACAAGCAGAATCAAACTACTGTAGCAAAATAGATAGAAAGAGAGAACTTACTTTGCCCTTCAAATTTTCGTATGATTGTACCCAAAAATGTATTTTGTGGTGCCACATGGCCTCTGCGAACAGGCATGTTTGTACAGATCTTCGGCTTTCTGTGCACAAGGACTTCTCCAAGGATCTCCTACACGGTTCCAGCTCTGAGCACCGAGCCAGCTACCCTTTGTGAGAAACCATCGTCCTCTGGAGCTCGGAAATCTCTTCCCATTAGCACCACTTCTAGACACACGCTTTTCCTATCGGAGTCAGATCCATCCCCCAGTTCTTTCTTTTTCTTTCTTTCTTTCCTTCCTTTCTTTCTTTCTTATTTTTTTCCCGGCGGACCGTGGACGCTATTGTCTGGGGCGGGTAGGGGTGGGGTAAAGCAGGAGGAGGTGGGGGAAAAATTACGAGGGTAATCGATCTCTAGCACCAAACATCGCCAATTTTCCAAAGCAAATGGCTGTGACCCGGCAGTTTCCGACGCTGTAGCGATGGTTAGAGGGCTGGAAGACTAATGTTGCTCCGCTGCCAGAGGGAGTGACGTTCCCCCCCTCCGGGTTTCACCACGGCGCGCAGCAGCTCGGATTACTCAAGCGTGGCTTAGCGAGAGCCAGCCAATAAATCTCTTCCAAACTCCGCGACAAACAGCGGCATCGGGAAAGAGCTACACCCGGCCCCGCCGCGACGTGCCGCCTCCCCCGCCGCCGCTGCAGGGGGAGCGAGGACCTGGGGCGGGGGGGGGGGCCCGCTGCCTCCTCTGGCCCCAGCGGCTCCGCCCGGCCCCACCGCCCTTCTCTGGGCTCCCGAACGTCTGCACGCCCCGTCTGCGGGTGGGGGCGCTACTGGGGATCAATATGCAGAAAAGGGACCACCGAGGCCCTCGAGATCTGTTCCCGTCCTAATGAAAAGGCTCGTCCTTTCCTCCTGCAACGTGACCCGGGGGAGGTTTTCCCCACGCCCCCATCTTGGCGAGGAAGGGGGAACTCTTGCTGCCGGGGGCCGGGCCGCTGCCGTTGCCTCTAAGGCGCACCCCGCCCGCCGGCCCTGGGCGCCACTGTTAGAGGGCCGAGGCCGGGGGTCGGACCCGGGACGGGCGCTGTCCGTGGTCCTGAAACCGCCCGGCCGAAGATCGTGGAGGCGCCGCTGCCCGCAACTCCCCCCGCGACTCCCCTCCTCGCCCTCTCGGGTTCTGCCACCCCACGCAGGAAGCTCACCAGGGAAGCGACTGTTATTTTAAGCTGTCATTAGGGCTCCCCACACTACCCAGCAGGCAGAACGGTGTGTGTTCAGCACGGTGAGGTGATATGAGGAGAGAGCTGAGAGCAGCCATGCAGTGCTGGAAAGGCATCTTCAGGGCAGCAACGGATTCTTAATAAACTCACATGGAAAAAATAGCGGGGCACCTGCTCCCTTTTCTTTGTAATACGGAGCACAGGATATTGAGCCGGCAAACCACCGCCTCCCACCTGTTCTCCTACAGCATAAGCAGGTGTTTCCTTATTCCCGTGGGTTTTTCTCAGGTGTTGCCTTTGTTTCACTGTTGGCGTGTGTCTTCCTCTGTATCTGTCAGGGGAGGGATGCAGTCTGTTGAGTATGTGGACATATTTCTTAACTAATTTCATTTAATCTCAGTGGAATCATTCTGGATTTACACAACTGTAAATAATGTCTGAAAATAGCGCCTATATGTACATAAATTGTCTTTAGAAGGCTGCATAGTAATTTACTGTATACTAATTATAAAGCCTCAGCTCCATTAAGTGGTGTGTAATCATGTACATAATCAATCTTAGGAAGTGGGTGTTGCTCACTTACAGATGCAAATATTTTAATCCGTATATTCAGATGTATAAATCAAAGGAATAACAACTATATGTATTGTTTGTAATAATAATATTTAAAGAAGTGTAACATTTTTGCAACTTTCTGATCAATGCTGGAGAATGAAATTCTGAGAGAATTTTTACTTGATTTTAACATAGTGAAACGTGTATGAGGATGCAGGTTGATTTTTTTTTTATCTTTCTGCTGTTTATCTTGACACCCACGTATTGCTCTGAAAATGTATTGAAGTTCCCAATAACAGCAGCAGAACTAGTGTACCTAAAGAGAGAGGAGCATACTTATTTTCATACTTGACATAATAACTAACATCTAGTCAAATCTTAATTGCCATCATTCTGATTTTTGTGTAAAGAAATGGTACCATTGTTTCTAAAACAGCAATAGAAAATAAACACAATAAAATTGTGACCTGTACAAAACAACAAATGTGTACTTCCAGTAGTTAACAGTTTGTAGCAAACTATCTCAACTGAGGAAACCCTGTAGGTCAGTTGAGTCCGGAGTCCTTCAGGTGCTTGGCTGGCAATAAATAAATAAATAAATAAATACATAAATTCAGTAATTCAGACCTCACAGAAGCCCCATCTTTTCACGTTGTTTGAATGAAACACCCTTGTTTGCATGAAACAGCAGAGACAGGACTCCAGAAGTCCTTTTCCATTCTGTCTCCTGACACGATAATATACATTGGGGTCCAAATTTCATTTTTTGCTTAGTTGGTTTAGGAACTGATTAAGATAACCCCAGTCAAAACAAGATAACTGCTGCTCAAAGATAAGATCTGAAATGTGCTTTTTGATAGGGAATGAATTCACAAGAATGATGGGATATAATATCTACATGAGCAATAGGTGGCATCAGAAAATCTGTCAGCACCATGATTTATACCCCTACAGTCCTGTAGATGCTCTGTTGCTCTTGGAGTTTTTAATACTTATTTTGCATAAAGCTTTACAATTTTCTGTAGTAAGCCAACAGTGAGAGAAGTGCAAGATGAAAATATCTTAAACTAGGCAATTTACTAATAGAGAGTAAAGTGATCATTTGAGAGAATTTACATTTGATTGGGAAATGTATGCATATAAGTGAAAATTTTGAATTCATCATAAATATGCCTCTCAACTGTGATAAAAGAAGACGAGAATGCCACAGGGATCTTTGTTTTATCTCTAAAGTTGTGCAACTGCTAGCTCTGCAAGAGAGCAAAATACTGAGGGAGGGTGTCTCCTGAGCTAAGCTGTATCCAACACGAGTGTTTCTTTGTCCTCTGCCCCTCATGGCACTGCCCTAGCCACAGCCCAGCCGTGGCTCCCCAGTGAATACCACTGTTCCACAGCAAAACTGTATATGGCATTTATTGGACTCTATTGAAAAAGAGATTTCAATGGTTTTGCTGACATTTTAACTACTTTCCTTTCAAGTTCCTTTGGAGAATTTACAGAGGTTTATCTCCGTAGATGTGCTATTGACCTATTTTGACATTTTAGCATTTAGCAATTAAACCTTTTATCTTGAGGAGAGGATAGCTCTGGGGAAATATCTCTGATCATATTTCCCATCATTTTGGTGAAAAAAAACACCAAAAAACGAGTCATTTCAGTTTCAGTTCGGTATTCTTATCATCCCTATCTATGCTTTTAACTCTTTGCTGCTCCAAGAGGCTCTCTAAGAGAAATGTTCTTTTCCAGCATAAATTATCTTTCTCTGTGTTCTGTTCTTTCTGTTTTATTGTTCTCCTGATTCTACAGCTTGCCCTCTTATAGACAGAAGTTTATTAGTGCAATCCCATTTGAATAAATACATCGTATATATATACTACTAAGTCATGATAGTTCTTTTGTTTTTGTGTTTTTTGTTGTTGTTTTTGCTTGTGGATGTTTTTCCATTTTTCCAGCTAGCAAACTAGCATGAGATAACTGTGTTGCTTTGACACCAACATATCATGTGTGAACTGTCATTTATTCATCCATCTGTGCCTCCAATTTTAAATAAGGCTGGGAATGTCTTCAGGACTGTTGAATGAAATATTGAAACTTTATCTCAGTTCCATTTCGTAATAAGATGGCCTTTGTGATTCCTTGACTGATTTATGTTTCCTAATCAACACCTTGTTTTTTTTCTCTCTCTTTCTTCCTTATCTTTTTTTTTTTTTTTTTTTTTAATGCTGTCTTTCTAAGATTTCAAGTTATAGCATTAGATTTTGTTTTAATTCCTCACAACAGTAGTTACAATCAATTATATGATGACTGGCTAGGATTTAGGCACAGACAAAGTATGCAGTTACTTGGGGCAAGGGGCTGCCATATTACCTCTGTTGGAGAAGATAAATACAGTTGTTTGGACATAATGAGCAGCCAAACAGCAAATCTTTGCTGATGCTACTGAGATTATAGGGTGCATGTGGTGACAGTTGCAGCTGCCATAATTGGCTCCTTCTAAAAGCAACTTGTCTTTACTTACACTGTGGTGATACCTCTGGATGAGTATATATTACACCCACGTAGCCTACATAACTGTCTAAATTGCAAAATGGAAATACTTCATTATTAATATTATTGCAAAATTCACCTTGAAATAGGTCTGATTATTTTATCTTGTGGTGTTTTTTTTTGTTTGTTTGTTTGTTTTTCCATTTTGTTGCTCTGAAAGAAAAAGCTTCTATTTCTGGCAAAGCTGCAGAAATGTAATTTATTATTCTATTTGGCCTTAAGGTTTACTTCTTCAATGTGTCTGCATTTAGATCTCATTAGTATTCAAGTTTTCAGCTGTCTCAATGAGAGGAAGGATATCAAGTTTTTAGTATCACAAAGGGACAAAACAAGTGTCCACAGAGTATTATGCTCTAAAAAGTGATTACGAATTTCTTATTAATTTTGCAGCTAGCTGAATACCTCAGTAACCATAGACATGTATATTACAGTTATTTTGGATTTTGTATAATATATTTTTTATATAATTCTCTCTTATGAGCTGCAACTTGATGAAAACAATGTGAATAACAAGTGCAAAACTTAGAACCGTAGAATCTCTGTGAGCTGAATCTTCTAGGTTAATAAAGGTAAGATAACATAATGTGGCAAGAAAGTAAAAAAACAGGTATCAACTTTTTCTGGAAGGATTCATAAAAAGTTAAGTTTGTTATTCTAAAGTATATACTGTTCTTATTACATACTGTGTTAGAATGCCTAGGGATTCATAACCTCATGCCTTAGGATTGCTCCGGAACTAGTACGCATAGGTCATGAAAACAGAATTACAAAAAGCATCAATATATCCACCTACTCTATGTCCTGCCAGTGGATTTTTCCCTTCAGTATATTTGCGTTTGTATTATTCATTTAGGATTTAAATTATTCAAGCAATGAGGCTTCCACTTCTTCCTCTGAGAGACTCCTTCAATATCTCTCTGTCTCACCACAGGGTTTCATTCCCACATATTAAGCCACAGTTTTGG